GAGCCTGTTGTGCTCTGCACTGGGGGCACCTGCGACACCTTAGTGCCTGCCAGGCCGAGGGCACCCCTGTCCCCAGAGGGCAGCCACTGGGCCGGGCGGGGCTGCAGGCGCCCTGGCTGAGGGAAGCATGTGTCTGAGACCCTGGAGGGAGCCGGGCAGGGGATGAGGGTGCAGTGGCTCTGCTGAAGGAGCAAGTGTTGTTTACTGGTGGCTCCTGGCCCTCCTGGGAGCCACCAGGTGCTGACTCCACCCTCCGCTGGCCTCCCAGAGGCTCCCAGGCGCGCAGGGCCCCACCCCCCACCTGCCTTGTGTTCCTTCCCCTGCTGGCACTCCCTGGAACCACCTGCTTGACCTGCTTGACCCATGCTGTCCCAGTGTCCACAGCTAAGCCGCCAAGACCAGCTGAAGGACCTCTGTCCATGGTCTTGCTCTGGGAGCCCTTTCTCCCAGTCTGGGGTGGGTGGGCCGCTGGGAGAGCGTGTGCCTGGGTCCCATGGGAGGGGTCAGCTGGGCCATGTCTGTCTGTAGCCCCTGGGGTCTCAGTGCTCTGTGGCCTGCCTGCCCAGGGATGGGCAGGGGCGGCTGAGGAGCTGGGTGGCGATGTTTCCTCAGGGCTGCCCTCTCCAGCACAAGGTGGCCAGGCTTCTCTGAGCTCCTCATTCGCTGGTGTGTCAGGGTCACCCTGGGGCTGTGAACAGGGGTGGAATGGGGAATTAGGGCAGGCCACGGGAAAGGCTTACATGAGAAGGGCCGCTAGGGGGCAGAGGAAAGGCTGTGGTCCCTCCCCCCAGATCAGAAACCGGCTCCAATTCCTGGCTGAGGGCTCAGCGGGTACCGGTTGGGGCCAGACTCTGCTGGGCCTGTGTACGCACATCTGTGAGGGAGATGCTGTAACAGACATTCACAACCATACATAACTCTCTCTAAATCCAGGGTGTCCACTGTAGGGGACCAGGAACCCAGGTGACATAGTGGTTGCATGCTGGGCTGCTAGCCCCAAGGTTGGCGGTTAAAGCCCACCACCTCCCCTTGGGAGACAGGAGAAAGATAAGGCTTTCTACTCCTGTACAGAGCTGTCGTGTTGGAAACCCAGAGGGGCAGTTCCATGCTGCCCCTAGGGTGGGTGTGAGTCCCCACTGCCTCGATGGCCATGAACTGTGTTTTGAGTTTCGGCCCCAGGCTGCTCTGAATGACATCCTGGTCTCCCCCCGCCCCCCGCCCCCCCCCATCTCTGCTAATTTTGCTTGCTTGAATAATCTTTTTCATATCTGAAACGAGATCGACTTAAAATACATCCTACACAAATCTTGTCTCATTAACAAAAGATGATACATTTCTCAATGGGATTATAACCACCGCCATAAAAGTGAGGATTTACCGCCTATTTCTAGGGGACATAGTTCATTCTAGAGCCTTCTGCCCTTTCGCTCTCAAAGATGTATGCCCTTGCCACATGCAAAACATATTCACAGCATCTGATCAGCCCAATGTCTTAAATCAAGCCAAATCTAACCATCGAAATAAGATACGGGTGAGATTTTAGATGAGCTCTTCATCTGAGAGCCTGTGTGGCAGAGCACACGAGTTAGTGCTTTCTAAAATTCAGTGGTGGGGCAGACACGGACAGACATCTTGATTAACTGGGAGACGTTGGAGGGAAAGCGGGATCACAGGCATCAGGCAAACCCCAGGCCCAGCAGACCACACTAGACCAGCTCTTGGGGCTCAACAGCCTCTGGGAGTTCGTCTGGACAAGGCCCTGCCCTCCAGGCTGTGGGTACTGGCCATGCCCTCTGCTTTCTGGGTGGACGCCCTGGGCCCTGCCTTCTTTTGGAAATTCCCATTTTCCAACTTAGAGATGACTGCCCCCCCATCCCGGCCCCAGCAGAGACTGTCCTTTTGTCTATTGGGTATGACAGACAGCCCCCCCCCCCACCTCCCTGGCACAACTTAATGGCAGCCCAGTAGCCCCATCCTCTGAAAATGAGTTGGCAAAGCCCTGGATACGTTGAAACCTGGGAGACTGTGGCTCTGGGCGGACGCTTCCCTTTTCTGGGAGGACAGCAGCTGCCCCTCGTTTGGCCCGTTTTCTGCTTGTAGGACTTTAGGAGGCAGATAGCAGTCTTTCCTTTGGTTCTGTCGCCGTCCCCTCTGGTCGAGGCTGATGGGGTCCCCTGGTAATTGATGAGACGCATCAGCCACAGGCTCAATGTCTTTAACAAAAGCTCTTGTAGACCTGCCCTTGGTGAGCATTCCAGGCCACGCTTCTGTTTGCACAAGAGTTTTCTAAATCTCTGATGTTTGGTTTCCAAATTTCCACAGTTCATTGGTAAGGGCATCTCTTCACTCACACTTTATGGTCAGTGGTTAACCATGCAGATGGGCACCTTCTGGCCTTGCTTAGAACTCTCACCATGCAATAGCCAAAATTTCCACCAAATACATGACTACAGTTCAGAAGGCAGGTTCGTATATGCGATCGTCAGTTTTCTTGGGAGACTTACCACGAGAGCAGTCGCCCGGCAGCGTGTGTATCTCTGACGGCGGTAGAGACTCTCTCTGTCCCTCTCTCCACTCCTTCCCACCCGAGCAGCATGCCCTTTGTCCTTCTTCATCTCACCTGCAGTCTCTTTAGGGAAGGCCAGGCCTTCACCCTTAGGGTCAAGCCCTCCCATCGCCCCCGCCCCCCATAACCCAACCCAGCTCCCAAACCAAGCCTACATTTTGAGAAGCCCCCACTCCTGGTACTGGATTCTGTCCTAGTCTGTTAGTGATGCGGCGCAGAAATACCCCACGTGGTGCCTTCACTAACAGGGACTCTCTCAGGAATTGGGATGCCAGAAGCCCCAACCCGGGACACCAGCTGTCTGTCAGGGTCAGCTCTGGAGGAAGGTCCTTGTGTCTTCTGAGCTCTCATTCCTGGGGATCTTCACGTGGCTTGGCAGCTCTCCTCCCTCCTCTTAACTACGTTTGCTTGCTGTGTAATCCCTTTCATATCCCGAGAGATGAACCGAGACCCTGCTTGAACCAGGCCTCATTAACATACCCAAGCCAGTGCATTTCCAAATGGAATTATAACCACAGGCATGGAGGTCAGGATTGGTCATATAGATTTGGAGGGCAGGGAACAACCCAAATCAGCCCAATGACAGAGCTCCGTCACTGGCTCCTCCAGATGCCCTGGTTCAAGGGCTGGAAAGTGGAGCGCAAGGAGGGCAATGCCAGCGGGGTGTCCCTGCTCGAAGCCCTGGACACCATCCTGCCACCCACTCGCCCCACGGACAAGCCCCTGCGCCTCCCACTGCAGGACGTGTACAAGATTGGCGGTGAGTGAGGGCTGTGCCCGGGGACCCCCCACTGCCACACACCTTGGCCAGTGTGGCTTGCCCCCCCACCGTACTCCCCACTCCCCACCAGTGCGTAGCCGAGCCCACTGTGCCCTCTCTTGGCCTCCTCCTGAAACCAGGGCGCTGGCTAAGAAGGTGCTAAGACTGGGTTGTCTCCACCTCCCACCCACTTTCTGGGGACCCACTTCCACCTACTCCATCCACCCCCACTGAACCCTCCACATCCCTCTGTCAGCTCACCCATCCACCAGGGTCTCTCGCTCTCCAAGTGAGATCTGGGGGCACGGGGTGACCCCCACACACCTGGAGATGGACACAGTCCAGGGAGGAGAAAGGCTCCTCAGCAGAGCATGCCCCTCGGACCCTTGATGGTGACAGGTGCCCTTGAAGACCCTGGGAGGGTTGTCTCAGACCAGACAGGGAGAGAGGACAACTGCCCAGACCCCTGACAGAGACAGGACAACTTCTCAGACTCTTCATGTGGAGACAAGAACCCCTTCCAACAACCCCTCAGACTTCTGAAACAGAAACAAGACCCCCTCCAGCCCCTGATGTGGGGGGGGGGCAAAAACCTCACTAAAACCAGCCCCTGATGAGATGAGACCTGCCTCAAACTTCTGGCAGGGAGACAGGACAACTCCCCCAGGTCCACGACAGGAAGAGAAGACCCCCTTCGGACCCCTGATGGCGAGACAAGACCCCCCTCACATCCTTGACAGGAGACAAGACCTCTCTCTTTCCCCAGTAGGAGACAAAACTCCCCTCACGCTTCCGATCAGGAGGCAAGACCCCCGAGGCCTCCGGGAAATCAGATGCACTGGCACTGTTTCATCGCAGCTCCAGAAATGGGCACCTTTGGGCTGCAGGTGCTAGCAGGTGCACTAGGCCACTGGCTCACTCTGCTGCCGCTGCACTGTGAGGCAGGTTCTCACAGCAGCGTCCCCTGCCCCGCGGTCCCCCCAGCTGAGTGCTGGCCTGGGTCCTGGCCCAGCCCCCTCTTCTTGCTCTTCTCTTGTCCTGCAGTTGGGGACAGGGCTCCACTTCCATCTGAGCCTCCTCAAGGTTGTTGGCAATCTCCCCACCCCCTCCATGCGGCCATGTCCCCCAGCCCTGCCAGGGAGGTAAACCCCAGCGGTGGGTCCCCCTGGGCACCCCCAGCCTCACAGCCCGCCTTGCGCAGGCATCGGCACAGTGCCCGTGGGCCGTGTGGAGACGGGCATCCTGCGTCCTGGCATGGTGGTCACCTTTGCGCCGGTGAACATCACCACGGAGGTGAAGTCGGTGGAGATGCACCACGAGGCACTGAGTGAGGCCCTGCCCGGCGACAATGTTGGTTTCAACGTGAAGAATGTGTCTGTCAAGGACATCCGCCGTGGCAACGTCTGTGGGGACAGCAAGTCCGACCCCCCACAGGAGGCCGCCCAGTTCACCTCCCAGGTGGGTGACTGCAGGGGGAGGGGCTGCCCTGGGCCACGAGGAGCTCAGCCAGGGCACTGGGTCCCTGGCAGGAAATGGGAAGCAGGGTGGGCCCTGGAATCTGCTGATTTGACCCTTGGGTGTAGCCCTGGGTGCGTCACGACAGCCTTTGAGGGCCAACTTTTTCCCTGGAAAATGCTTTTACCGGCTCCTTCCTGACACACCTGTGATAGCATTATTTCTTACACCCTCACTGCATGCCCTCTGACCACCTCTGTGTAGGACTATTTGAAACACAGAGCGAGGTTGCAAGCACAGGGACTTCAAAATGTTCATGAAAAAATTTCGTTGTCTTTTAATCCCATTTTCCCACCAACTCTGTTGCCCTCTCACATAGTGGCTGAGGGCCACTGCTGCCTTCATCCTGGCTTGCTAGGTGGTCAGTGTGGGGGTCTCAGTGTAGGATGTGGTTCCTCCCTGGGCCAGGGCTGGAGTGGGAGTGGAGCCACATTCTGGGGTGGTGTCCATCTCCAGGGCCACCAAGGCCGACCTGACCCCAGCTGCACTCCTGCCCTCAGGTCATCATCCTAAACCATCCCGGGCAGATCAGTGCCGGCTACTCACCGGTCATCGACTGCCACACAGCCCACATCGCCTGCAAGTTTGCCGAGTTGAAGGAGAAGATTGACCGGCGCTCTGGCAAGAAGCTGGAGGACAACCCAAAGTCCCTGAAATCAGGCGATGCGGCCATCGTGGAGATGGTCCCGGGCAAGCCTATGTGTGTGGAGAGCTTCTCCCAGTACCCGCCTCTCGGTGAGCTGGGGCCAGGGTCCGGCAGGTGCCCTGGGGAGGCGGGGAGCTGATAGTATGACCGACTCTCTTGTCAGGCTTGCAGCACAATAAGATTCAGACTCGATCCCTTTGACTGCGAGCGGGATGGCACCCTTTTGTGGCTCACCCTCAAGTAGGATCTCCCTAAGGCCTACCACTAGTCTAGTGGCAAAATTAAGACTACAGTTGGCCCCCCCAAAAGTGGCAGCCCACAGACCTAAATGGAGTACCATCGTAGGCCGGAAGGGCTGCCTGGCTGAGAAGGCCCCGCCCACAGCAGCTCACAGGATGGATTTCTGTCACGTGTTACCTAAGGGCCTTAGAATGTATTATCTAATCAATCAGAAGATTGGATGTATTATCCAATCAGGCCTGGGTCGAGGCCGAGGTGCTGATGATCCCCAACCCGTAAGGAGCCCAGAGCGCTATAAACATTTGGTGCCTTGGGGCCCCACCTGGAAACGCAGGCCGCAGGGAGGAGCCGCCCAGGATTTCGGGTTGGAGCGTAGAGGGATGCTGCGTGCTCCAAGTGCGCCTGCGCGATGCATCCCTGCATGGCAGGTCCCTGCATGGCAGGCCTGGGCGGGGCCTGAGCGCGGTCCGGGAGGGTGGGAGATGCTGCATGTGCAGAGTGCGCCTGCGTGCTGCATCCCTGAGGGGCGGGACCTCACGCCACCCACCTCGCAGGCCGTTTCGCTGTGCGCGACATGCGGCAGACCGTGGCCGTGGGCGTCATCAAGAACGTGGAGAAGAAGAGCGGCGGGGCCGGCAAGGTCACCAAGTCGGCGCAGAAGGCGCAGAAAGCGGGCAAGTGAAGCGCGGCCTCCCG